AGTAAACACACACACACACACACACACACACATAAAGGAAAGCTGATGATGAATATTAATGAGTGAAAGCAACACTGACACACACACACACACACACACACACACACACACACACACACACACACTGACACACACTCACACACACACACACACACACACACACACACACACTCACACACACACTGAGCGGCTGCTGGTTTATGATGTTAACTGCAGGACTGAAGACCCGTGTGATGTTCAGAGGTGTACTGCCGCTCATCACACACACATTGACATTAAGACATGCGCACACACTCTCAAACACACTCACACGCACATAAACACACTATATTCAGAGGTGTACTGCTGCTCTTCATCACGCTAAAGCATTCACACACACACACACTTATGAGCATGTACACACACTGTTCAGAGGAATACTGCTGCTCTTCATCACACACACACACACACAAAACATGCATGCACACATAAACACACACTCGCATAAAAACATCCATGCATTCATGAGTCCTGGAGTGTGTGTGTGTGTGTGTGTGAGAGAGAGAGAGAGAGAGAGAGACGCTCCAGGGCTCCCTCTGCTGGCGGCTGCTGTGTTCTCAATGACGTCATCTTTTATTCTTCACACTGATGCTGCTGTCTGACCTGTGTGTGTGTGTGTGTGTGTGTGTGTGTGTGTCTCTTCTCCTCAGACCTGAAGCGAGAGGCCAGTATCTGTCACATGCTCAAACACCCACACATCGTGGAGCTGCTGGAGACGTACAGCTCAGACGGCATGCTCTACATGGTCTTTGAGTTGTGAGTGATTCCTCCTTCAGCTTAAAGCTCAGAGATGCTCACCATCATCATCATCATCATCATCATCATCATCATCATCATCTAGAGCTTATTAACATCAACCAGTTATCACTGACCCTGCAGCACAACACCTGCCCGATGCTGCAAAGAGTGTGTGTGTGTGTGTGTGTGTGTGTGTGTGTGTGAGAGAGAGACTTTAAGCAGGAGCTCCATCATATTAAAGCAATAATCAGCAATAAAATGTTTTAAAACACAGATATTTGTTTAAAGATCATGCCATATGAAGATACTTCATCCATTTTCAACATCTCAGTAATGAGAGCTGCAGCAGGTGATCATCTTCACAGGTTATCTGCACAGCAGTGTTGTTCAGCCGCTGAAATCTCCCGCTGATAGACTGATGTGGCTATTCTCAGCTTGATCAGGGTGTTTCAGAGCAGATGATGTAGATGAATATTCAGTTTAACAGCAGAACATCAGTAACAGCGCTGTTCTGCCCAGCCGGCTCTACTGAGCTGAAGATGCTGTTATATTCTCATTGGCTCATTTCTGAGCAGCTGTGTGACGCTCACTATACTGTTCAGCGCTACTCTGAATAATGGGTCAGGAAGAGCAGGTGAGCACGGCTCAGTAATGAGTGTAATTCCTGCAGACAGCAGTGGCTTTAGGACAGTGTGTGAGAGCAGCGATCCTGCAGTATTGCACATGATGATGAGTTCTGCTGCAGCTGATCATGTGCTGCAGATATTACAGATTTTCTTTATGAATTGTAGTTTTATAAAGTATAAAGTTTTTTCACTGGTGAATGAAATGATCTAGTGGATCTGTCAGCTTTAAAGGTGCTGTATGTAAGCTTTGACTCCTGTACCGCATATAAACAGCATCATGTGTGTGCAGATACTCAGAACAGCACATGTTTGGTCTCTTTAACCCGCCCAATGGCAGTTTAGCCAATTACATTTCAGCACCTCGGGTTGCCAGATGCTGGAAAACAGCGTATTTCATTCAGGCAGTCCGGAAGACTCTCAGAGCATGCGTCTGTGACTGAAATGCGCCCTCTGGTGGACAGTAGCAGACTCTGAAATGAGATGCAGATTCAGAGTTCCACATGAGGTTATTAATCAGCAAATAATATAAATATTACGAGCGTAAACATCAGGTGAGCAGGTTATATTATAACCCTGTGTCCTAACTACATGATGAGATACGCAGTGATGAGCAGTTCAGCTGTTTGCAGCAGAGGAAACAGGACAGAAATGTAAACACAGACATTCAGCAGCACAGAATAGAGCACTCACTGACCTCCAGCACAACACTGAGCTTTATCATCTGAAGAACACACATTACAGCTCTTCAACATGATTAATGTAGATGCTCAATCACTGATATGTGTTTAGTTCTGTTATTTTTTATTATTTTATATTATTATATTATTTATATCAGTAATATTATTTTATTTATCTGCTGCTGCTGTCAGTAGTGTGGTGAGAAATGTCATGTCAAACTCATATTATCAGTGTTTTAGGCTACGTTCACACTGCAGGCAAATGTGGCACCAATCTGATTTCCCTCCTCATGTGACTCAGGTGATGACAGCGTGAACAGCCCAAACCACATGGAATCTGATCTTTTCAGGTCAGATCTGTGCCACTTTCATATGTGGTCTTAAATCAGACACAGATCTGATGTTCTGCAATGCGACTGCAGTGTGAACGGTCATGGCGGATTAATCTTTGAGTGACATGCGTCATCATTCTGTGCTGCAGACATCCTCTACCCCTCAGCAGCACAGTGGAACAGCACACAGGGCGATTACTGCACCACAGAAAGTTTATTTGTTCATGTTGAAAAAGAGCTTGAAGGTATAACTGGTGCTTGTTAACTAATCTGGTTAACGATTGAGGCACGGGTAGATCGCGAAGCAGAAAAGTGTCGTGGGTGTTGCGGATGGGGGATTCAGGTGCAAATGATCTGTTCACACTGCAGATCTGATATTGGCCACATTTACAGCCATGCACAAACATCAGATCTGAGAAAACATCGCAGTGTGAACGCAGCCTAACACTGACCACAGCACATGAGCTGTAGCTGAGCTGATCAGTGTCAGTTTCCTGTTGTTCAGCTGTGAGACACAGAAGCCGTTTCTAATATATTTCAGGTGTTAGTTAGGACAAAAACTCCTTCTAATGTGTGAAATATTCCTTCAATCGCGTGTCGCTGCTTTAATTTAGAACAGTGTAAATCACTCGCTCCTGTCCTCAATCTGGCAACCTGCGCTTGTGTTTGTTTTGATCCAGGAGTGCAATACCTAGCTCAACCACTGGGTGTCAAACTCACACACTGCAGCTCTAATGTGTGTGTTGGTGTTTGAGGAGGCGTGGCTTGGCATGTCAGGGGAGGGGCTGTGTTTTAAAGATATCATGTTAACAGATGTTTAGGCTGATCACCTTTAAGCAGGAGCTCCATCAGAGTAAACACAGTAATCAGCAGCACACTGCCACCTCAACAGAGTCCTGATGAAGACTGTGCGCTCGTCATCTCCTGACTGCAGTAGTGGCAGTGGCACATTGTTGTTGAATAGATTTGCCAATAACCCCAAAATACATGGTATAGCTCTTTCAGAAGAGTCTGTATTTTGATTAATTTAATGAACTAATAACTCCGTAACAATAACAAACATTGTGTGTGTGTGTGTGTGTGTGTGTGTGTGTGTGTGTGTGTGTGTGTGTTTGTGTGTGTGTGTTTCAGAGACAGACTCTGCGCTGTGTGGATCTGCTGGTGCAGGAGCTGCAGGCGCTCTCTTTAATCCCACTGACCTTTGCCCCTTTACACCTGGCAGAGGTCATCGCCCACGACCTGATGGAGAACAGGAGTCTGTCTGACCTCTACCGCCTCAGGTCACACACACTCATACACACTCATATATACTGCACACACACATGCTGTACACACACACACACCGTACACACAGGAACTCTGCAGACACACACACACACACACTGTCCAAACACACAAATTCTGCAGACACAAACACGCTTGCATGCAAATATACTGTACACACACTACATGCAAACCCTGCAGACACACACAGATAGAGACAGAGGGAGCTCTCTCTATATATACAGTACATATATACCAATATGCTAAATAGTGTGTGTGTGTGTGTGTGTGTGTGTGTGTGTGTGTGTGTGTGTGTGTGTGTGTGTGTGTGTGTGTGTGTGTGTGTGTGTGTGTGTGTATCAGGATCATCAAGAACTGTGCTGATATACATCTGGAGTCTCCATACTCTGAGCATCTTCTGAGTCTCTGTGGTCTTCCAGAAGAGGAGCTCATGCGGTATTGATTATCAGTCATTATTGATTATCAGTGTCTATTGCTTATTGATTATCAGTGATGTCTGCTCATTGATTATACGTCATTATTGATTATCAGTGGTTATAGCACAGTTCTGTGTGACCGCAGGATGCAGAGAGACATCGCCAATGAGAGATGCACCGCAGACACTGAGGTCAGTCGAGCAGCTTTAATTATGATTCATTACAATAATCTATTTACACTGCAGATCTGATTCTGTGTTGATATCAGATTTATTTGATGACCTGCTTACAGTTATCTCTTTCCTTGCTAGTTTTTATTTTTTTGGCGATATTTTTAATATAATGTATGCGTGCGCATGTGTGTGTGTGTGTGTGTGTGCAGTTATATTCCTGATGATAACCACCACTAGAAATGTTGATTAAATTGCGCCCTCTAGTGTTCATAAGGTGATATGGTCTGTGTTCAAACCTGCTAAAAGCTGTAATGGCTTTAGCAGGTTTGAACACTATAGGGGGCGCTAATGTGAGTTGACCTCTGTTATTATCTATAATGTTAACAGAGCAAATAAATGTTCACAGTATGTCTGATAATACTTTTTTCTTTTGGATAAAGTCTTATTTGTTTTAATTTGTTCAGTAATAAAAGCAGTTTTGAATAAAAAAAAAATAAATTTAAGGTCAATTATTAGCTCCTATAAGCTATATTTTATAGCCCCCTTAAGAAGTAAAATCTCTGTTGCTTAATGACTTGTTTCATTACCCTAACTTTACCCTAATTAACCTAGTTTTTTAACTCTTTATTTTCATTTTCATTGAAAAATCCTTCATACATGACATACAGCACTGCCTAATTCCCTTCAAGAAGGAGATATACCATACGTCAGCATTCTCTTGGACGTACTCACAGTGAATTTAACTTGCTGCCCATCTAACATCCATTAAAACATTAGTGGAAGGTTTATAAAAAATAACATTCAAGGCATACATGAGTATCATTTACAATCATATATGGATCTGGCTGGGACAGAAATGTAAAACTGAAGCAAGGTGTACATGGACAATGAAACCAAAAGAGACTTTATAAAACCATTATGAGATAATAATGAAATAAACAATTAAATAAGATAAAGGGCGACACAGGGGCGCAGTATGTAGTGCTGTCGCCTCACAGCAAGAAGGTCGCTGGTTCAAGCCTCGGCTGGGTCAGTTGGTGTTTCTGTGTGGAGTTTGCATGTTCTCCCCGTGTTGGCGTGGGTTTCCTCTGGGTGCTCTGGTTTCCCTCACAGTCCAAACACATGCGGTGCAGGTTAATTGGGTAGGCTAAATTGTCCGGAGTGTGTGTGGATGTTTCCCAGGTATGGGTTGTGGCTGGAAGGGCATCCGCTGCGTAAAATATATGCTGGATAAGTTGGTGGTTCATTCCGCTGTGGCGACCCTGGATTAATAAAGGGACTAAGCCGAAAATAAGTGAATGAATGAAATAAGATAAATAAATGAATTAACATACACTAGTCTTGTAAAAGTCTGTCAGTTCAGTCTATCTGTAAAGTTGATATGAATAGTTCCCAAATCTTGTTAAAAAATGGACAATTTGTCATTTAGTGTGAGTCTCAGTTCTTCTTAGTGTAACATATTTGCAAGTTCTCCTGCCCACATTTGTAAGGTGGGGACAGCATCAGAT